TCAAAAAGAAATGAAAACAAGGTCCACATTATTATTCTAGGCATTTCTAGTGGAGAATACCACAGCAAGATACTAGAATAAGTGAGAAATATCCTAAAACAGAACATTTGAAACAAATATGAAAAGCATGCGTCATGTCTCTGGAAATATTGCTCAAGAGGGACCAGAAATACGATCTACACCACATATGTTATAAGACTTTAGACTTTAAAAGTGTTTTTGTATTGTCTCCCCAAGCAGCAAGTGACTGTTAAATTAATAAACATCAGATCATCATCAGACATTCAGGAACAACCCTTTAGATGCAAAGAAACTAGAGTACCACACAGGAAAGACTTTTTTTTCACTCAGGAAAACTGAATTTCTTGATTAAAGAGACAGAAAAACTGTTATCAAGATGTTATTGTACACACAAAGCGCAATGTGAAAGTGTTCCCACGCACCCTCCCAAAGAAACTTCTGAAAACCACAGCTCTGACAGACACATCGCCTGCGAAAGTGACGCAGACACTAATGGAGAACCAAGTGACGGGGGAGGCAGTTGTGCGGAAGAGCGGGGACTGTGGAAGGTAGAGATAAAGGAGAAACACACCACAGTCGTGGGCTTCGGTGACATGGGGCAGCAGGAAGAAGAGCGAGGCAGCACTCTTCCAATCTCTGCTAGTCATCTTGGCTGTGAACAGTAACTAGTAAGCAATTAGGAGACAGTCAAACAAACCTGTCGTTCCTTGTGTGGAATATCAAGTCTTGAAATCAAGAATAGATGTCATATGGAAAAAGTAAGTGAAATTTCCTGAATCTAAATCGAAACCATCAGAGTCCGCTCAGGTGAAGTCCCAGAATAGTGACCATCTTGGTAGCGATTAACAATGCCAAAATCTACATTATGTGCCCCCCAAACCATTTCTCAATAGGTGCATCAAGGCCTCTAGGAGAAAGTATTGTTGATTTTGAATAGGAAGAACACATAGTTGTGTCGTCCTGAGAGCAAAGGAACTGTGCTGACAGCTGCTAGCATCATGTCAAAAGAACTGATGGGCCAATAGGCCATTGATCTGTCGACCTATGAAGAGAAAAAGAGCATAGAGTTGGGTGGGTGGGGAGGAAGAGAAGGAATTTGTAAGGAGATAGAGGAGGGGAAAGAGTGTGATCAAAATATAGCATATTAAATCATCAAGGAATAGATAACATTAAAAACAGCTATTGTAAAGGACTAAAATCCATCAAATGTGTCTTAACCTTGAATTCATAATGATGCTTTAAATAATTAATCACTTTTAAAGATTATATAAAATCTATTAACTATTAAAAACTGATATGAAAAGATCAAGAATCACTAACTTCCCTTTAATATTTTCCCTGTAGATTTTACTGGTAGATAAAAACTAATACAAGAGAGACAGCTCCCTAGTAAGGAATCATTTTAATGAGATGCAAGGAATGACAGTTTCGCAAGTGAAAAGAGTCTATGCAATGAACATTAATGTTACTGATATCATAAAAAGACACAGAGAGTATGTGTTCTGGTGACAGATCATGGCACCTTAGGTGACCCTACCAGAGAGATCAAACCAAAAGCATAACTGTTGAGACTTGTGAATCAACCACTGATTCACAGGGAAAAGAGAAGGCAGGAGACCCTGTGAACCCTCCTGTCCTTTGCCCTCAACTGAGCCCATGCTACCAGAAACTACAGGAGAATTGCCACCATTCTTTGACAAAAAAAAAAAAAAAAACTTTCTAAAAATAAGTGCCACCCATCCATTGCTATGTTGTTCCAATCCAAATTACAGAAACTGTGAAGAACTTGAGTTGAATTTCATGGCTTCTGAGCTCTGTGCTAGAGTGTACAATTGACAAAATATCAGTCACTGTGTATGTGCATGCGCGCGTGTGTGTGTGTGTGTGTGTGTGTGTATGTGTGTGTGTGTGTTACTGAGGGCTAAGATCTCACACAAGTTATAAGAGTTCTGGCTGCCTCAAAATATGGATGTATCTTTGAGATCAAAAGTTTAAGATGTTATTTTAAAAAATCTATGTTCTACTTTAACACTTAAATGAAAATTTATTGTATTTGTTTTGGGTCACTAATTCTATCAAGGAATTTCCATTTGGTGATATGAATGCATTAGGTTTGCAAATAAAACTGTAAAACACCAAAATCATTTTATCTAATCATTTGTTTCCAGAGCTAGCTCTGTCTAAATGGGTCCCCTCCCTTTCTTCTTATTTGCTGCATATTTGATGCACTTATATTCAGTATGAGCTGCTACTGACTTTTTTCACTGCTACCATTTGCAATTTATGGTCTGAAATTACATATTTTGAAATGGTTCTGTGCCGGGCTTATTTCAGGTGACTAGCAGTATCTTTTGAAACCAGAAGAGGGCAGAGCAGTGTAGCTCTGAGTTCTTTGAGACTAAAACAACCAAAGAATGTCTGTGCTAAAGGAAAAAGATAAAGTTTTACTATCACAGTCAAGGACCAAAGAATGATTGATAGCTACAGACCTTTATTTACTATGAAAATAACAGCTTAGATATATATAGAAAGATATATAACTTATCAAATACACATCTTTTTGAACGCAGTCAAGCTTAATCCATAGGGTTTGCATTAAAACAGAAAATGTACTGCTACTTCCTCTGCTAATTGTTATACCATTCTCAAGAACAACCTTGAACACGTCACCTCTGCATTTGCTTTAATTGATTCGAGTTTATTGTACTAGAGAGGGTCCCAAATACACAGAATGTGTGTTTGGTATCAGCTGCTCTATTGCAGAGCAGTTGACAAGTGACTGAATTTCAGTGGCCTTACACCAAAGACAGTTAAGGCAGACTGATGGCTTTGAGCATTGCACTGTCTGCCCTCCTTGCATACAGTGTGCCGCTGCTGGCCCTCCTGTATCCTGGGCCTGACTTCTGCCTCCTCACTGTGTGTTCTAGTCATCAGAGCAGAAGCCCTCCTCTGATAGGACCTTCAGCTGTGACTCCTGAGCAGCGATCCCTTGACGTGTGCTAAAAGCTCAAAGATTGTAAACTTATCCCCAGTATCACCTCTTTAGGGGGTGAATGACGTAGGAAAGACAATGCCCTTTTACATGAAAATGTACTTTCTACATAAATGATATCCACTCTAGTCTCTATCAACATGTGATTAATTTTCCCTGGAGTTCTAGTCAATTTAAAAACAATTCAGGTTTTTTTTTTAATTACAAAAAGATAAAACTTTCATGGATGTGGGTGGAAAGGTCAGTGTGTTCAGTGATCCTGCACTTCGTTTCAGATCTGCTACGCAATGTGAGAACTACATTGTACATCCTGATATTACCCAAGTGGTCGGGAGTAATAGCAAGGACCAGTTTGTGGGAGCTGGAGAGGTAGATGGCTAGGTGGGTAAAGGGCTCGCTGTGCCAGCTTGGAAAACTGAGTTCAGATCCTTATCGCCCACACAAGAAGCTGGGTGTGGCCCAGCACTGAAGTATGGAAATAGGAGAAGCCCTGGGCCCCATTGGTCAGCCATCTAGCCAAGTACTGAGTTCCAGGTTCAGTGAGAGAGTAAAAAACCCAAGGTGAATAGTGATAGGGAAGGCATTTGATAGATATTGACCCCTGGCCTCCACATGTGTGCACACACACACACACAGGAAAAAGTGGGTTTGTGACATTGTCCTTCCCCAAGCCTGGCCATTTAGACATCTTTGTTCACATTGTAGTGCCTTTTTGTAGACTGGTTTGTAACTGGGAGCTCCTGTGTCCTACCCTGACCTGACTCACTGAACTATTCAGTTCCAGAATTCAAGAGCCTGGCTTCTATCTATCTTTTGTTTTCGGTGTTTACTGATATTGTGCCGCAAAACAATCCCACACTAGTTAAGAATTATGGATAATAAAAAGGGTTATTTATTTGAGGGGAAAAACTTACAGATCACCGTCCCAAACAACAGTCCTCTCATCACAAACAGGAAACAGAGAGTCTAACAGCAGGAACAGGAGCCAGAAGCAAGAGAGAGAGAGAGAGAGCACCTGTTCCCGCTGCTTTTTAAAGTATAAGAGACCACGCCCCAGTGGGCTGGTATCTTAAAGGCTATTGGCTGAAGGAGCAGAAGGAGCTCCCGCAACATTGTGCCAAGTGGTAAGAAAAGATAATCTATTGGTGGCAGACAGTGGCTCACTTTCCCATCGTTGACTTCCAATGCTGACTACTAAATATGCCCCACCCCTAGTTCTTGGGACTCTAGCTTGGATGGTGTATGACCCCGTTTTCTCTCCATCTCTTCCCTCCTCCCACTACTTCTTTGGATCACTTAGTCACATGTAAGGTGGTTTGCTAATCTAACAGGCAACCCATGAGCAGGATAGATCTGGATTTGCCCTCCAGGGTGTTTTTCTTAATCCTTCTCTCCAGGATGACTTTATCATCATGGCTTAGAGGGGAACTTTGACCTTTCCTCCCTGTCATCCTTCCCTGTCCCTGAAGATAAAATACCTCATGAATTCACGTTCAGATTGTCATTAGATCACAGGCCAGGAACCTGCAGTAGAACAGTGTGGATTGGAAAACATTTCACTAATACAAATTTCAAGTGTTAACTGCAACACCAAATTCTTTACAACCTGGAGCTTAATTATTCAGATAACAGACAGTGTCATTACCAGAGTTGTACACACCACACATCAGTCCCTAGCTGTGATACGCAGCCTCACAGTTAGAATCTTTGCACTGATTTTAAAAAATAGCACCAGGAAAGAGTACTATTATAATCATTATATCCAGTGACTCAGAAAACAAATGCCAGTTTGTCATATGTGCAGCCTGGACTTGTGTGTGTGAGGTGGGTAGAGCTAGAAAGGGGACCAAAGATGGGAAGAAGAGACAGTAAGAGAAATGTAGCATGTGACATAAAGGTCAAAAGGAGACAGAGAACCAGCATTTCGTGGGCTGTGAATGTATCATTTCTTTGTATCCCAAAACTAAAGTGCTTCTTACACTTTCAGCTCCGCAAGTCAGTTTTCAGCATCAGGGCAAGGAACCTTCTGGAAAAGGAGACTGCGGTCACAAAAATCTTAAGGTAATACCAATAATTACGAGGCATACTTTAATGTAAGTGGGATTACATGAAGAACACACAGAACTTTTGCTCGATGAATTCATTTTCCGGACAGTAATATTTACTGTCTGCTCAATTGTAGGATTGTGCACCTTCATGCTTAAAGATAATGTCAAAGATGTAACTAATGTTTGTCTAGAAAAGATAGTGTTTCATTATCATAATGTGCCATGTTTATTATTTAATGTGTTTAAATAAACTATTCCTAGAAGCATTTACCAAAAAAAAGGTAGAAAATGATAATTTTTCATGATAATGATAATTTTATCATTATTCTTGACCACCTACATCTTTTGTGGTATCGAAAATAATCTGAAGGGAACATGGAAAAAGTACAAGTCTGAAAAATAATTATGATTTCTTCAGCTGTTACTAAGGATCTATTAATATTTGAAAGCCAGGCTGGAAATACAAGCAGCATATGCATGCAGTGCCCGTGGAAGCCAGAAGGGGGCAGCAGATCTTCTGGGACTGGCAGTACAGCTGTTTGTGAACCTCCATGGGGCTGCTGGAAACTGAACCTGGGTCCTGCAAGAACTGCAAGGGCTCTTAACTGATCAGTCATCTCTCTAATCCCACATAGCCACCTTTGAATGGCCACAATATTATATTATATTAGTGTTACTGTCTAAAATATGGCTTGAAGTGAAGTATCAATAAGGAAATCAATCTGACCACTTAAGCATAACAGACTATACATTATAACAGAGAGTGATAGGATTTAAAAGTGTGTAAGCATCTGGGACATCAAGATGGTTGCATTATTATGCTTAATGATAAAAAGATAAAAATGGCATGGTTGACAAAGCTAATAGGCGCCTGATATGGTGAAGTAGTCTGCAAATTCATGGTAAGTGGAAGAAATCAAACTCCTCTACCTAGTCCCTTGCTAGAAATGTTTGTGAAAGCATCTTTCCATGACCTGTATTACTGTGGCTTGGGAAGCCATGATGAGGAAATACAACTAGGTACACATAAGGTGAAAAACTAACTTTTTGAGAACTTGATACTTGAAACTCGTGAGAGAGAAAAAGTCCTATCTCATGAAGACACATTTCATAGTGTTCTCCTCTGTGGGTGACATTCAGGCACAAAGTCATGCATGGATTGCAGTAGCTTTTTGAGCTGAAAAATAAATACTGCTGGGGCTTGAGTATTCTCAGTATGATTGGACAGACATGAAAGGTCTTATGGAAAGAGACTTGAGCCTCAGTGTGGTCGTGCTCTAACTAGGTGGTCATTCGTCTCAGTGTCACCCTTGGACTATGCCGTGAGACTTGTTTGGATAGCTCATAATCGCCAAGAAACTTGGTCAAACTGTAATTACACCAGCAAGTTCATGGGAGGGGTCTACAGAAGTGCTGACACACTTACTAGGAAGAGAAACATCCTTAAAATGATGAACTACTCAGGGAAACATCCTATACTGAGTCTAACTTAGAACCTTCCTACTGTTTTTCCTGTTACAACTGCCCTTCAGCAAATTTACTGTGCTTGGACTACAGAGTGAGCATGCCTGTACACAGATACTCAACTTGATTTTTTTACTGGAGCTACACAGTAAGCCAGCTGTGTCCCGTTAATGACTCTGTGCCCTAGGTACCAACCAGAAAGCCAAGACCAAGGTTCCCAGTGAACGACTGCCCTTGGTAACCAATAAGCAAGTCATAACCAGAGTTCCTAGTGAATGACGCTATTCCAAGGATATCTCAATACTTTGGAGTTTAAAAGGGAATGGAGTTATATGGAAAGAATTACAGGCTTCACTTTCTTTATATACTGTAATAGTTAACATTGGTCGTCAACTTGACAGGATCTAGAATCACCTAGGAGACAAACCTCGGGGCATGACCATGAGGAAGTGCCTAGATTGGAATAACTGAGATAAGAATCCCCACATTATGTATAAGCAGCACACTTCTGTGAACTAGTCCTGAACTATCTAAAAGGGAAACCTAGCTGAACACCATCATTTAGCTCTCTCTGCTTACTGCCTGCACATGCACTATGACCAGGTGCATCAAGGTTTGGCCACCATGACTTATTTGTAAAGATGAACTGTGACCTCTAAATGTAAGCCAAAACACACCCTCTCATCCTCAAAAGTTGTGTCACAGCAATGAGAAAAGTAACAAGTGTGTACTCACAGATCCACTGCCTTCCTCATTCATCCATTCTCTTCTTTTTCCTCTCCCACTTCATGAGACTGGGAAGAACTCACCCATCTGGGAATCATGGCGTACATCGATCTGATATTCAGTTTTGAGGCAGCCAAACAAAGGGACATGGCTTTTCCCAGAGAGCCCTGTGGGCCAGGACTCTAATATTTATGTAGGTGACAAAATTTTCAAGGCCTCCCAGGAAATCATTTTATTTACAGTTAGGCCTTGCAGAACATCATGTCATAAGATCTATGTGAACATGTCATCTGAGTTGAAAAAAAGTCACACTTTTTCTGAGAGCTGATCAGTTTAACAATGAAAAGTGACTTAAAGGGAACACACTGTCACAAAATTGAATGAATAAGATGGATGAAATAGACTATGTTTTCATAAAATTTGCATATCCAGACAATACTGCATGGGGGAATTTAACACCTTTTTTTGAAAAATATGTACAAATTTGGGGCTTTTATGTGAAACGATACCTGATATGAGAAAAAAATCTTTAAACTGTCAGGAAATATGGACCCTTCTCAACCTTTCCCAGGTGTTGTATAATTTGGGGATTTAACAACATTCCAGAAAAGCACAGAATTAAAGATCTTGGCTATATGTTACCTTGTGAATTACAGGAAATAAATGACTACAGTTTGGACATAGGATTTTAGTTTTTGTAAATTTGATCTTTACAAAAAGCATTTATCATTATTGATAAAACTGTCTTTGCTTCTCTGAGTACATGAGAGCATAGGTTCCATCGTGCCCAGAAGATGCTATTTGACTCTAGTCTTGGCCATTCTCTGGCTCTTAAAATCAGATCCCTTATAAGGAACCAGCCTTGGCAGCATGCATCTGTAATCCAAGTACTATGAAAACAAGCTGATCTCAGGAATTTGCTGGCTAGCCTGCCAAGCCCAGTCAGAAAACCCCAGGTTCAAACAGAGACTATATCTCAAAAAGTACAGTGGAGAATGACTGGAAGATACCAGACATCAATCTCTGCCCTCCACTTGCACATAAACCCATATGTATACGTGTCTCATACACGTACACCACTCCACACATGCACATACTCATGCAAACCAAGAAAGAAAGGAGGGGGTTGGATTGGTTATATACATAGTGACCAGGAGCTTAGCTGGTGCCTTGAAGTATTCTGATCACAGACCAGTAGATTTTTCTCAAAGGCTTTTTCTGCATCTATTGAGATGATCATGTGACTTTTATCTTAAAGTCCATTTTTGTGATTTACAACATTTATTTACTTGTGTATGTAGACTCAATCCTGCCCCCTTGTGATAAATCCAAATTGGTCATGGTAGATAATCTTTTTGATGTAGGTCTTTACTCAGTTTGCAAGTATTTTGTTGAGAATTTTTGAATCTATGTTTGGTAGGGATATTGTCCAGTAATTCATTTTTTGTAGTATTTTTACCTAATTTGGGTATTACAGCCATAATGGCTTCCTAAAAGGAGTTTGGAAGTGCCATTCTGTTTCTTTTCTTTTCTTTTAATAATTTGAGAGAGATTGACTGTAGATGGTCTTTAAAATTATGGTAGAATTCTGCTATGAATCTATCTGAGCTGATCCTCTTTTAGTTCAAAGACTTTTTATTACTGTTTTAAACTCTTCCTTAGTTGTATCCATTTAGGGTGTTGGTTTGACTTGGGTTGTTTGGATGAAACATGTCCATTTCTTTTAGGTTTTCTACCTTAATGGAGAACAGGTTTTTTTAATTACTCCCTTATAATATTCTGATTTTTTTGGTTGTCTATTGTGATGTTTTCCTGTTTATTTCTGACTTTATTAATTTGTGTCCTCTCTCTTTCTCTTGGTTCATTGGGAAGGGTCTGTCAATCTTGTTTATCTTCTGAAAGAACCAGCGCTTAGACTCCTGATTCTTTGTATCATTTTCTGTTTCTATTTCTTAGTTTTTTTCTCCAATTTTTATTATTTATTGCCATCTATGGGATTTGGATTTGGCTTGCTCTTATTTTTCCAAATTTTTGAGTGGCATCATTAAGTCATCTATTTGTGCTCTTTCTAAATGTTTAATGTAGGCACTTAGAACTGTAAATCTCCCTTATAGGACTGCTTTTAATGTGTCCCAGAGGCTATGCTGTGTTGTGTTTTCATGACCACAGAGTCTGAACTTGCAGTCTATAGTGCATATAAATGAGTTGAAGGAAAGAACCTAGAGCTAAGAGTGAGGATTTTGACTAAGTACAGCAGCCTCCCCTTTGTAGACATGTTAAGTTTTCTTGGTGGAGGGTCTGGATTTGCAGCCCTGGAAATCAAAGAGCTACTGTGGCCACAGTTCCCATTAGACTGACATTTCAACATAGCCATCTTCTACCAAACAGCACACCAGTGTGCCATATCCATTGCTACTAACAGAAAATTCCATCCACTAGAGAAAGCATCTAGGAGCCCTAGAAGGACACCGCTCTTCATTGAAGCCACCTATTTTTACCCAAATTCATCTTTAACTCATGTCACTTTACTAAATAATTTTATAAATTTAATTGACATTTTTTGTTAATGGAAATATATTTATAGCCATTTTGATGGGGAAAAGGTGTATCACATCTTCATGGCTCCAAGTTAGGAAGCTAAATAGCACCCATACTGTTCCCTCAAGACATACCTAGAGAGGGTTGGGAGAGGGAAGGAGCAACCTCCTTCACACTGATCCTCCACATCAGTCAAGGATGCTGCTCACACTTGATTCCTCCGCTGTTCTGACTTGGATGCTACCATTCAGTTGACTGAAGATCTTTCCTTCTGGTGACCTTTTC